TCCTTGCTGTATGCGTATGTGGAGAAAGGGCCCGCAGCTGCAGTAGCATGTCTCTTCTTCAGGTCAAAGTGCACGGAAATGGTACGCCTGCTAACGCACTAACCCACAAGCGTAACCATAGCCCACGCTACTTTTCTGCCTCCTCTCCCTTCTGTTCTAGATCTGAGGCGTATCCCGCTGCAGGACGTGGCGAAGGTTCTGCAGCGGGATACTCCTCAGCACTAGAGACCTAGAACAGAATATTGACGGAGGTTCTGCACATTGAGAAAAGCGCGGGCGGAGTATGGAATCGACACGCGGACATCACAACCCCCCAGCCCAATTCACGTGCACTATTTGAGCGGGCAGAGTGACACGCTAAAGCAGCTGCTGGCACGTTCACATGTACATGGAAAGGGCCATCCAGAGCTAGCTGTACGGTTTGTTTTCAAAGTAGTCATTACAACATACCGTATTTGCTGCATGGTAGGACGATCGCTTGGCTCCTCCTGTACCAATCCGGAATCACGTGCTGTGGACGGCTCTAGAAAAGAAATATCACCACTAGGAGCTCCAGACCTTTACGAGGTCTCCGTTCGAGGATTATGAGCACATACCACTGTATTCCATTCCTGTTGGCGCTGTTTGTACCGGTGTTGTCGTGCTTTCGGTTTCTGTGAGGAACGAAAACCGGTGTTGAAGAGGTTGGTGGGGACATGCTGCTTGTCAAAAGAGTTGTCGTTACTGTCGACGACGTTTTAGTCGTCGTTGATGTTGTGGTAGTGATTTTTCTCAATTTTGTTGTTTCTGAGGTAGTTGCTATTGATGATTGAACTGTTGCGGGTGCTTTTGAAGATATTATTGTGGTGGGAAGGTCTTCCCATTCCCTCTCTTCTGTGCCAGCTTTACGATTATTTCACTGCTGCACGAAATATTGGCGAAACGTTTGGCCTATATGTACCCCTGGAAATGGTAGTATTTGAATTAAAACCTTCTAGACAAGAAAGGTAACCGTTACTATTGCGATTCAGAGTTTTCGTTCATGGCTATGCACAATAAGGGAAAGGATGAAAACACTAACTTTCTGTGGCTGCTGCTCCTTTTCCCGAGTGCATAGAACACTGGGAACATTATTTTGTATTCTTTTTACTTTCTACTGATTTCGTAGCAGTTGTCTCGTTCTTGAACGGGTGAGTTGGTCTCATGCGCACAGACGGGAAGCGGGCCATGGCCATGGAACGAACCAGCTTCGTACCCCTTATGGTTAGAGAGTGGGTGAGCAGAGGCTAGAACCAAAGTAGGTGACGGATGTTGTATAGATAAGGGTGGAAAGCAGAGGTAGTGGGAGATATTTTCCTCTGCCGAGGAAAGTATAATTAAACGGGCTCACGTAATGCCTAAAATTCCGTGTCGCGACCATCAAAAATCTAGCAGCGAATCTCTAAACTAGCTGAGTGGGCACTCTGCTGCGTGGCCACATTCAATCAGTTCGCTCTTGGTGCGAATAACGCGCACGTGACGCCACTTCAAAATCCACGTCGTCACAGCTGCTGAGCCACCCCCGCCCGCTCGCTAGTCACTCTACATACTGTAAAAAGCTGAGATGGAGGTCAGGTAAGCATCGCAAGCATAGCTCCTTATCGCGTGGGGGAGGGAGAGACAAACAAGATAGTCTTGATCTGCCATGCTCATCAATATCCAAGATCCATGTCTCGCAGAGAAAGGAGGGTGATTCATGAAACTCCTAGCCGCGGAATCAACTTGACCTTGGCAATAAATTAGAACTAAAGCGACCTCAATCAAAATTTAACACCATCGACACTTGGAAGAACGGTAGAGAATAGTGAAGCCTGTGAGTATCGACCTGTTCTGAGGGAATATTCGTCATTAAGTAAAATTCTCAGAATTGATGCTAACGTACTATAGCAGAAAGAATAACATTCATAGTCAATGGTTTCACATCCACATTCGAACCAGTTTTGGTCTCTACTGTAGCAGTGTTTCTGAAAAATAAGGCATATTCTTCATGAATCTTATAATACTTGCTGTCCTACATTTAGTCTGGCGGTCGTTCAGATCTGAGAGTGGTGCTGGGTGCAACAGAAATAACTACTGTAGGAGAGCTAAGAAATACTCGCTCTTGTCTTGTACTTTTCATTGGCGAGCAACTTTAAGAAAACATGCAGTTCTAGCTGATCAAGTGCGAGAAGGAAAGGTTTCGCCTCCTGGGTAGGGGGGGGGTGGAGGGAGGGGGTGGGACGTGGGGACGGCGTGGCATCCACCCTCGCGCTTTTCATGTCTATGCGATCGAATAGAAAATCAAAACGAAAATCCTCGGCGCAACCGAAGATAAACCCTGCTGCTTGGGTTGCACTCCCATCAGATTCGCTGCGTCATGTCACGCTCGAAGACAAGCTGTAGGCTTGCGTTCATGGTTCCTCCCATGTGCAGGTGAAGGTCCGCAGCTGCCGTAGCGCCTCCTTATTCTGCGCCTAAAGACGGACAGGAGCGGGCTATTGGTAGTGGTACCCGCGTGGTTTCCACACTCTTCCCGTGCTACCCTCAGCGCTTGCTATCACGTGCTTAGCAATAGAGAACAATCAGAACTGAGAAAGGGCAGAAAAGCAGCGCGTTCGGCTATGGCTTAGAACCTCGCTGGTAGTGCGGCAGCGCGGAGGATTATGGAGCTGTTGCCCAACCATCTTGCGCTTGCAGCTCAACAAAGTTAGTTCTTGCCTTTTATTTCAGCTCCTGTTCTGCGGGAGGGTTTTTGGATGCTGGCGAGCAGGTGTCAGAAACCGTATTTCCCAGAGATGTTTTGACTGAATCGTAGAGAGGTAACCCTGCTGAGTGGCCTTGGGGGGAGGGCACACTAGTCAGCATTTTCAAATGTGCATCGCTTTCGTTTTATTTTTTCACAGTCGCGTCTCACCGTGTAATAAATTCCTGTCAAATACACTGTAGACTCCTGTCAGGCTTGGCGATATCGTACTAGCGTCAGTGGAATGCCATTTCCCCATTCCTTTCCACGGCTTGACCACTCATTCTTACAAGTGTGACGAGAGTTTCAGAGGGCTCGACATATAACGAGGCTCACAGGGTGTCGATAGGGTTGATCCACATTGCCAGGTTACACATTTGGCGCTCTGGCAAGCGTCTACAGGTGTGCCCTCTCGCAGATTATTTGCGAGAACCTTCATTTGGAACCGATACCGTCTGCTGCTCCAATTCAAAGACTCTTCCAGGAACGCAATACCTTCAACAACAAGCAAATACGTCTTTTTCTCACCGCTTTCATCCTGGTTTTCGATACAAACCCTTTTTCTACACTTGTTTGACACTTTCCAGTTTCGAGTTGTGCTCCATGGAACTTTATGCAAGCGATCTTATCTTTGGATCCCTGGAATCATGCGGCTTGACCTGGCCATGGTTGTCCCAGTTATGAAGTAAGATCTTGGAGAACTCAGTTGTTCAGTACTTCTCACTGGAGGCATTCTGTCACGGATTGCTAATGAGGTTCAATTGCACTACAATGCTTGGGGTCCACGATTACTCAGGTGATTGGGAGGCTTTTCCATTCTCAAGGTGGGTCCGCAATTTCAGGATATGTCCATTTTCCCGGTTTGACAAGAACGCTACGGTTCTGTCACGGTGCTCCGTCGTCCTGATGAGCCCTCTCGTCCTTTTCGACTTAAAATCCCTGCATAGCTGTGACCTCTCATTGGGTGGTGTATTCTCCTACCAAAAGCCTAGTTCTGCTTCTCTCTTCTAACTCTAAACTCACTGTCCCTTCACACTCACATAGTAATGGACAGAACCAGCAGGACCCAATACTATGCCACTCTTGTGCACAGATTGAGCAGAAAATGTCATAACGCGTAACGACGAAAGGATTTTCCCTTCGCTTGACATCGAGATGTACTCCAACCCCGCTAGTCTAGCTCAAAAATAGTCTGCTGGAAAAGTAGTTCGAGATCTTTTTTGTGAAGAGTAGTCATCAGCGATCCACCGTCAGACATTCACAACTCACCTTTGCAGTTTTGCTGGTGTCACATAATATCATCCATTCCTTTTTCTTATTCATCAGCTCATTAATTATGTCAAGGCGGCACGAAACACTGGTGCCACGTGCGACTAGTATGAGCCTCTGGAAGTGGTAGTATTTGAATGAAAAACTCCTACACGGAAGGTAATCGTTACGAGTACGATTCATTGATGTCATACACACTATGGAAAAGCTAGTGAAAACATTGGGTATTTAGGATGGTGTGGCTACCGCTCCTTTCATCGGGTATGTAAAACATTAGGAACGTGATTTTGTCTCCTTTTTACTAGCTGTTAATTTCGTAGCAGCTGACTTGTACTTGAAGATAAGTGGTGGTTTCATGCGTTCAGAAGGGAAGCGCCGCCATCACCGTAGAAAGAAAACGACTTCGTAAAGCTTAAGGAGAGGAAAATGGGGTGAGCAGAACGGTGAGAGGCTAGAAGCACGAGGACGACGGATTTGTTAGAAAAAAAGGTGGAGAGCCAGG